GCCCGGGCGAGCGCGCGTCAAAAGTTGAGAGGTGGCACGCCCTGCTAACATCTAGCCCTCGCGGACTTCGACGGGGTGCCCGCGCGGGCCACCCCAATTGCTGAGGCAGCGGCTCACGGCAACATATTGGACTCCAGCTTCAGCGCAATGGGGCGGGCGCACTCGATCGGTCCAGAGTTTGACCGCTTCAGGCAAGACGCTGACTGCATTGCCACCGCGCACGATAATCGCACGCGACGCTTCCCATTGTTTGCATCGTCTGCTGAGTCGAAGGGCACTTGGGAGAGGCGCTGCTAGTGGTGGTTTTGATGGTTCGCCGTGGTTAGTCACGGGGTCTTACGACTCACTTTCCGGGAAATGCGCCGCTCTTCGCATCCTCAATATCGTTGTTGTGTAAGTATATTGCCGATGTTTGTCAGCGCGAGTTCCCTGGCCAGCGCTTGCAGTTGGTTTCGTGGGTGGGCGGGTCTGCCAGATCTCCATTGTCTCTTCAACTTCCCGCCTTCCCTTCGCAGCCTGTCTTGCTCTGCTTCGCGCCGCCCCTGCCCGCCCCCCGTTGCGCCCGTCAGATTTGCAGTGCTCCGTCGTCGCGTCCGCTGCGCCTGGCTGTTGCTGCTGCAGGCGATGAGATTCTGAGGTGGCGCCGTTTGCCAGGCGACTGCAACTGGCCCCCTGGCCGCCCCGACGGCCGCAAACAATGTTGGAGACATCGCGATGCACGGGGCGCGCTACGAGGACATCGACAATGATTCCGCGCAGCTGCTCCTCGTGGACAACGTCGATAAATTCTGAAATTCCGGGCGATCGCCCCGCGCTCGATGGCCCCGCGAGGACCCCCCACCCCACTCCCCGAAGGTTTGCAGGGCGTCTGCGGGCCAAGACAAGTCGGGGCGACGGGGTCAGAGGGGCAGGCCGGGGGGGTGGGGAGGGGGAAGAGGGCGCGACTGCCAAACATTGGCGCCATCGCCGATCGAATTGTTTCTGCTTGCCGTTTTAGAACGGCTTGATCTGGAGGGGCGACGCAACTTGCATTTGACGCCGCGCGCGGTGGCAGACGGGAAATCGGAGTTCAGCTTAATGGAGTTATGGGGTTCCGCGCACACTCTGGGCTTCCTAACCCCCGCGCGGCAGCATTGAAGAAGTCGGTTCGGCACCTCAAACTGAAGCCCAAGAAAATGCTCACTACTGACAAGGGTTTGCTCACGCCACTCGTCAAATATATCGCCGAAGGCACAGGGAACAATCGCGTCGAGGAGCTCTGGGCCCTGGGGGGCGAGGGGGCCATGGGTGAGATGTCCAAGAGTGGCAAAGCCACGCTCTCTGATAATTTCGCCCCATGCGATGCGGTCTTGGACGGGGGCGACGCAGGGGCGGTCGTGGACATCATCGAGGACGCCAAAGACATGCTCGAAAAGAAGCTCGCCGACGCTGACTTGGCGCGGCGGGGGGCCTGACTGAGGATCGCGGCTCGGAGACTGCGGGCGCCTGGGCAAGGACGCTGTGCCGCCCTGCTGCGGCCTGAGCAAGGACGATGAGTTCTTCTGGCGTTAGGCAGGGTGCATGCCGAAGAAGGCGACTAACCCGAAACATGTCAGCAAAACGTGGGGCGGGGACACTGGCTGGACTAAGGGTCAAGCGCCAAGGCATGTGCTGGACACCATCTGAGAGAGGCATTCCGCTGCCGGTAGGGAGAAGGCCTGACCCCGCGACTGGGACAAGCTCATCTCCCAGGTTCTGCATGAGAGTACCACTGCTTGCTCCTAGTCCATTGCTGCTGCTCGGATGCGCTCGCCCATTGGGGATTCAGCGCTCAGCGAGGCAGTGAGCGAGACTAGAGGGAGTTACGCTGTACAGTTTCTTTCGCCGTGCTACACATCGTTGCCCGCTCCCCTCCGTCCTCGTCATCGTCGTCGTCCTTTTCCTTCTCTTCGCCCTCTCCCCCTACCCGCTTCATATATCCCGCTCCCCCCTGTCATCCCTCATCCCCCCCTACCGTCTACCCCGTCCTCCTCCGTCCGCCCTCCCGCTCCCACCCCCTCCCTTTTTCCTCCCCCCATCCTTTCTGCGCCACCTCCTTCCCTCCTGTTTCCTCCTCTTTTGGCGGTTTGCAGTAGCGTAACGCACACAGCACAGGCGGCGGAACTGCGCCCGCGATGCTGGTAGTGGATGCACGAAGGCGGCCAGCGCTGGGTACGTCGCGGCTTCACGCGTGCACGACCCCCCGAAACCCTAAAGACGTAGGGTGGGGTGAGACGGTTTCGGGTAGGCCGAAGAAGAGCTGGCGGCGCGCACAGGGGGGGGAACCGCGCGAGGGGGGCGGCCTGCCAGACCAAGGCGGTGAGCTGCTCTCGGAAGGCGGGGGGGGAGGGTGCTCAGGAAGACCAGGGGGGCCTGCTGGTACGGCCTCAGGATCTAGGCCTCTTCGAGGGGGTCCGAGTAGATGGGGTCGGCAGATCGCGCCGCATCGCCGATGCATCGCCGATGCGGCTTGATGCGGAACCCGATTTGCTTCGCGTCGGCGTCGCCGATGCATCGCCGACGTCGACGACGCATCGTCGGTGCATCGCCGATGCATCGCCGATGCATCGCCGATGTGTCGGCGATGCGGCGCGAGCCTCGGGCCACATCTATTCTGACCCCATCTGGGAGGCCTGTGCATGAGGATATCAGAGGCGCGCGCGTGTCTCAATTCGAAGCCTCCTGCTTGCAGTGTAAGGAGCCCCTCGCCGTCTTATAGATTAGTGTGCAAACTCCTGGGAGGTTTCTTACAGCATCGGTACCGAATTATAGTCAACCCGCATAATATGGATGGGCAACGGTCCCAAGGGTACCCTTGCATCCTGACCTCCTCGGTCCATCCTTCGCCGATTTCGCTGGCCGCGCCCCGCTTGAAAAGCTTCGAAATGAGCGTCCAGGGCCCTTGCATCCTTATCGCGCATCCTTACTATACTGGTTGACTGTAGCACACCTGTATGATGTTGAGTTCAGCTCAATCCCGTCATGTCCAGTTTTAGTCAGATTCAAATATCGGGGTTAACTGTGTCTGGGCTGATCCGGCCCATAGCTCCCTAATCGGGCTCAGTACCAGTCAATAGCCCTTCGTCGCTCTCACGAAGATCTCCGACGAGTTGCCTCCTAGAATTCGTGTGCGCTGCCAACTCTCCCTTTCTCTCTTTCTCTCTCTCTCTGCCTCCTCTGCCGAGCCAGTCCCTTGCACGCACGCGCGAGGCTCGGTCAACCGTCGCTCGGGCCGGCGCCGCAGCTTGTCTGCTGCTCCTTGCGCCGCGGCCTTCCGACGAATACACGTCCGCGCCGGCGGCCCAGGCTCTTTTTCCCCTGCGGGTGCCAATCTGCACTCCCAGCGGGCGCACAAATATGAGAACTGGCACGACGTTTCCCTCATCTCTCTTGGAGTTGGCTGGGGGGCTGCGGTGGCTCAACATTGGCTCAAGGTAACCGAAAGGGGTGAGGAAGGGGCCCCTTCTCCGCCACGGCTGGACGCGGCTCGAAGAATTTGTCACTTTCGACCCCTGGGGTAACCGCGGAAACAATTTTGATTGGAGTTGCTTTCGTCCCCTTCTTGACCGATGTTCTCGGGCCCCTCCAGCGCAGACCCCCGCTCCGCTTCCCCCTCTTTAGTGCCTCCTTCCTGTTCCCCTCTCGCTGCTGGGTACGAACCTCACAGTCAAACGGTGAAAGATATACACATTGTTCATTTCTAAGTATTCGAAAGTCCTCTGTTTTTTGGGGGGGACCAAGATCCTCTCAGTTCTAGTTGTTCTACCCTGGGCCTCGTCCCGACCACTAGGGGGCCAGGAACAGTTTGAAACGAGCGCAATTAGAAACGAGCACAATTAGAAATGATCGACGTGTATCCCTTGGGCTCAGGAGGGGCTTTGTATTTCGGGTCGCTCCTGAGATGTAGGTCGGGTAACCCATGGGTTGTCCAGGCTCGCCGTGGACAGATAAGCTCCTTCTTCTTCCTTACACAGCCCTCCTTTTTGGTAGCCTTAAGTCGGGCCTGTCCCTCTACAAGGGGAATATTCCGAAATAGTAAAAATAAAATAGTCTGGGGACATGTTTTAACTATTTCTAAATTTCATGTGAGCTTTTTTGGCTATTCTGAATTTTCGTCCAAATCCCCCTGTAATGGGACAGGCCCGACCTAATGGTAGCACGTAGCACGATGAAGAGAAAATTGCATAAGCGTAAACTTCCGGAGTCCCGTGCAGATTGCAGATGTCTTCGATCGGCACCGGACCTCTCTCCATGGCGCGCGGAGTGCGCCAGGGGCGGCGCCAGAGGCGCCGCCACGGGGCCCGGCGCCGATCCAAGAAATCCGCACGGAGCTCCGTGCGGAAGGAGATGTGGGAGGAGAAGGAGGTGGATAGGAGGTGTGGGAGGAGAGGGAGGTGGAGAGAGGAGGAGCTGGAGGAGAAGGAGGTGGTTGAGGAGGTGGTGCATTCGGGTGGAGCCTTCGCCGCTGCACGGAGTGCGCGGGATTGGATGAGGCTCCGCTGAACCAGCAGGAGTCCAGAAAGGCGGTGGCGCGCATTTTTGTTAGCGCTTGCTTGCCTTTCTTTCCTTGCAGCTTTGCAGGTGCCCTTGAGTCCACGAGGTGCAGGTGTAGCGCGACCAGCAACGTAGCGCGACGAGCGCTCCAGGTCGAACGTTGAGCATGGAGTTCTCGAGGTCTGGCGCGTGGTGCCGCGTCCATCGTCTAGAATGGGGCCGCCGTCCAGGGCGACCTGGTAGATGTCGAATTCGTGCGTTCCTCATGCGGTCGGGAACTCTGGCTCGGCGTGTCGCGGCGCCGATCCTGGCACACCACGCCTCGACGCAACACCCTGCCCATGTACCGGCCCCCAGGCGTGAACTCCCCGAGCCCTCCTTGGCCTCCCGCCACGCGGAGCGGAACGACACGCCGTCCGCGCGCAGGGCACGGCGTGTCACCGGTGCCACCGCCGCGACACGCTGAGCAAGAGCTCCTGGCCGTATACGGAGAACCGAAGATTGCAAAGCCCCCGCAGACTGAGGTCGGGTCCGTCCCTCTACAGGGGGAATGCTCAAAAGTAGTGAAAACGAATCGTCCGGGGACGATTTTTTGAGCATGTCGTTGATCCTGTTGGAGTCTCGTTTGACCACTTTGTATGTTGCGCCCCGAGCCCCCCCTGTGGGAGGACAGGCCCGACTCAACCGCAGACTGGGAATCCCCCTCGCACCCGAGCTTCCGCCGGGGCGGCGCGCGGAGCGCGCCGCAGGGGCGGGCGCCGGGCAGCGCCGCTCTGCGCGCCCGGGGCCGGGGCCCCCTGCGGAGGCCCCAGGCGAGCACGAGCGGGCCTCCGAGCGGAGTCTTGCGAAGGCCTTGCGGCCGGTGCCGCCGACCCACGTTCGCCAGGATTCGGCGGCGAAAGCCTACGCATTGTTCATGCCTACTTCTTCGACAGTTTTTTCCCTACCTAGGCTCTGCCTAGAGGGTTACTCTCTTTCTTAAAGGGGCCAGGCAGTGCAGCTCGCTCCGGGCGGTTCCCCCAGTCCCCTGGGAGCGGTTCCCCCAGTCCCCTGGGAGCTTTAGCTTAGCTTTAGCTTTAGCTTTAGCTTTAGCTTTAGCTGAGCTTTAGCTTAGCTTTAGCTTTAGCTTTAGCTTAGCTTTAGCTTAGCTGTAGCTTAGCTGTAGCTTAGCTGTAGCTTAGCTGTAGCTTAGCTTTAGCTTAGCTTTAGCTTAGCTGTAGCTTAGCTGTAGCTTAGCTTTAGCTTAGCTTCAGCTTAGCTTCAGCTTAGCTTTAGCTTAGCTTCAGCTTAGCTTTAGCTTAGCTCCAGCTTAGCTCCAGCTTAGCTCCAGCTTAGCTTTAGCTTAGCTTCAGCTTAGCTTTAGCTTAGCTTTACTGTTACTACTAATGCTGATTTCCTAGGGGCTCCAACTCCTAGGTAGGGTCGCACTGGGATAATTTGTTTTTTTTTGGGGGGGGGGGCAAGATCCTTTCATTTCTGATTGCTCTATCCTGGGCCTTTTCCGGGCCACTAGGGGGCCAGGAATAATTAGAAAGGAGCACCATTAGAAATGAATGACGTGTAAACCTATACCCTCGCCGCCCAACGGTTCAGGCAACTCGATCTGCGGCGGGGGTAGGGTTCGGGATTCGCCGAGCGTGTGGCGAAGTCCGAACCCTACCCCGGGCTCCCATCGGTTCAGGACGACCCCTCCTAGGTGCCTTCCCCTGGGAGCTAACCCCAGGACCACCACCCCGGACCGCCCCCCTAGACCCCGCCCCTCTCCGGCGGGGGAGGGATCAGTGGGAAGGGGCTTTCCTTCGACTCGATGACGACGTTCGTCGATGTTCCGAAGCGGAGAGTGTTCCCCCCTGCAGGGCGTCGCGGCCCCTGGGGCGGCACGCGGAGTAGAGCCAGAAGCGCCGCTGCGCGTGTGGAGAGGGGGCCCAGCGCCGACCCGAGAAAGACGAGCGGACATCCGAACGTGTATGTCGATGTCGCCTGCTGGTCTTCCGAGAAAGTGAGCCACGAATCTCGGCAGGGAGAACGAGTATTCGTATCAATGGCGCGCAGGCGTAAGGGCACCCCTCCGCGTGGTACTCCTTCGGTGTTGTCCAGAAGTGCATCGTGGGGCAAAGACGCACCCAGACTTCCGATGTTGTTTCTCTTCAGTGCGAGGCCCCAGGACGTCCCGACCCCTTCCCAGTGAGACTGGCACTCCGTCCCAGATCGTTCTGCTGACGGCCCCGATGTCCAGAGCGACCCCGCAAGAGGCCTGGAGTGGCTCGGGGCCCACGAACGGTGTGAGTCATCGGGGATTCGGGGCGGCCGCACGGTTTTGGGACTCGGGTAGTGCTCCGAGGACGTCCCGTGCGAGAGGCGCCTCAAGGGTCCGAAAACCATGCAGTGACGGACCGTTCGGTGAGGCCTTTCGGGGTTCCGAGGCCACCGCACGCTCTGTCACCGCACCATTTCGGGACCCCCAAGAGAGTTGCAGAAGAACCTCCACCTGACTTTCGCCCAGACATTGGAGGTCTGGGCAGCACAAGGGGGGACCTTGAGACCTAGGCGCCGATTTGTTTTGTCACTCAGATTTTTCGCCCAGATTCCCGGATCCACACAGATCCAGAAGTGCCGCAGAAAGTCGGGGTCTAGGGTTCCAGGTGTGATCCCACGATGCCGCAGGTTGTCCGCGTCGTCGCAGCTCACGGGAGGCAGAGGATGCGGACCCGCGGACGCCATCTGGGCGCCATATGAGCGACGCAGAAACACGGGGTCGTCTGCGCGGACATTCGCGCGTAAGCTGCCCGGGCAGAAGGATGAGCGATTTCCCAGGGTTACCCTTACATCCTTCCCTTTCGGCCCATCTTTGGCCGCTTTCGCTGCCCGCGCCCCGCCCGCAAATTGTCGACATGGCCGTCCAAGACCCTTGCACCCTTACCGCGCATCGTTGTTGTACGGGTTGACTGTATTGCAAGCCGCTTCCTTCACCCGAAGACGAAAGGCACGACCAGAACTATAGCTCCGCGGGAAAGTCCTGCAGCGGCGCCGGACCCCCCCCCTCCCCCGCTCGCGAAGCGCCGCCAAGGGGGGGACCAGTGCCGATCCGAAGAATGCGCGCGGAGCCCGGGCGGGGCCAGGACTGGAATGCACTATCCCACAGCATTCCTCGGCTTGTGGCAGGCCTAAAGGTTGACACCAACACCAATATCGGCGGTGTGCCTCCGCCGAGGGAAGAAGATCCCGATCTCGGTGATGGTGGTAATATTCTGGCGTCCAAGGCGACCGAAATATTGCCACCAACACCGAAATCTAGGATCATCTTCCCCCTGTGGAGGCAACCCCCCCGTGTTGGTGTTGGTGCCAATTTCTAGGCCTCCAAGCTTGTGGAGTCCAAAACCCGGATAGCGAAGCGCCGAGAAAACTTCCGGAAGCCTCTGCAAGGAGCCCTACACGCGCTTGAGAAGAGCTTCCGAAGGAGCTTCTGGAGAGCTTGTCTTCCCGGAAGCCAGAACGAGCTCCAGGGCGACATTGCGGGGCCAGCTTCTAATCTGAAACTCTCTTAGCTCTCAGAGAGTCATCCCGGATTTGGACGCGTGACCTTCCGCCGGAGTGTCTTCTGGTGCGGGCACACTGGGGTCCTCAGACGGCTGAATGCGATGCAAAAGCAGCGGCTTGCGCGCTCGCGTTTGGCCTCCTGGCGCCCCCCCAGAAAGCCGCGCACCAAGGGTCAACTGTTGCCTGGGGTCCTTCCTGAGCGTAGCCGAAGCATTCCGGATCGTTCTCGGAGCGGCCCCGCGGTGGTTGAGGACTCTCCCGCTGGGGCGGTGGCCCGAGCCAGGCCCTCACAGCCAACGAGCTCGGGAACCGTTGTCAAGCCACACGGCTGCTTGGGGAGCCGCGGCTGATGCTCTTGATCGTAACCAGCGCAGCAGGTCGCTGTCTTGCCACTCCAAGACCGCCAGACTTCAGAGAGCCCCGATTTGTCCCGGTCCACGGATGCCCCTGTCCTGGCTTCGTCTCAGGAGCTGCTTACGCGGCCTCTTGTTTCTCACTGACCACTTTCTCTTGTGCATGAGCTCTGTCCGCCTCAGAGATCCCCGACTTGTCCCGGTCCAAGGATGTCCCTGTCCTGGCTTCGTCTTAGGAGCTGTTCATGCGGCTTCTGTTTCTTACTGCCCACTTTCTCTTCGACGTCAGCTCTGTCCGCCTCAGAGATCTCCGACTCATCCCGGTCCAATGTTGTCCCTGTCCTGGCTTCGTCGCAGGAGCTGCATGTGCCGCTTTTGTTTCTCATTTCTCACTGTCCATCTGCTCCTGCCCGCGGCGGCGTAGGGCGGCGCAGAGAGGGTGTCTTGATCGTCGGCGGCATGCGCTCGCGGCATGTTCATCCCTCTTGCTCCGTGCTCCTCGGACGTGCGCCAGTTTTGGGAATTGGCTGGGGGTCTGAGCTAATACCAGTGGCACACACAGGGCCTTTCGGAGCTCCGTGCGGATTTCTTGAACCGGCGCTGGACCCCCTTCCCTGGCGGTTCCTCTAGAGGTGTCCCAGCATTCGCTTTGGCCAGAAGAAAATTGGGGAGGAACGTGCCCCCGTGTCGCCGCGGCCAGACGCGGCTCGAGCAGCTGGTTAGTTTCGATACCAGCAGGGTTTGGGGACCGATGTTGAAGGAGTTCGTCCTCACCCCCCTCCGTCTTGACCGACTCTCCCTCTAGGCTTATCCAGCTCAGACCCCCAAGCCACCTCCAACTCCAGTGACAATAGTCTCTGCAAATGTCAGATAGAGTCTGACATAGGACTCAGCCTCAAGATGGAGTCTGGGTGCCAGCTTGATTAGCCGAGTTGCCGATATAACGTTGTGGTTGGAATAACCCACTGTGGTCTGAGACCCAGAGTTCTATACTCGAGACGTGGTCTGATCTCCTTATCATCTCCGTGCGGTTGTAAATTTTACAAGACCGGTCCAGAATTTTCACGCTAGTTGCGGCGAGCTGCATCACCTGGAGCTGTTCACTCCCATCTCTGTCCCTGACAAGAAGCTGCGCTGGAAAAGGCATTCGCTGAATTCATAACGCTTCGCGTATCCCCACCAGCTGGCCCGTCGGCGTTAGGCAATTAGGCTCTTGCGCGGCCCGCTCGGACCTTACTCGCCGCTGGCGCTTTCGCCTGCGGTCGCGACGCAAACAATCCCCACCATCCTGTTGCGCTGAGTCCACGGGCTTCTGCTCGTAGCACGACCTTCCCGACGCCGCGCGGGTGCCCGCTCGCGGTCGCGATCCAAAAAAGTATCCCCACCAGCACATCCAGGAACGATACCGAGGGGAGCTGCCCTTATCAGGGAGCGTGCTTTGAATTGGATACCTCGTGGAGCCTCATTGAACTTGAGGCCTCTTGTATGCCTCTCTGGGTCGCTTGGGATCTCTCCTGGGGGGCTCTCGGTGGCCTCTGAGGTGTTTGGGGGGCTCGTAGAGGCCTATTGGGGCGTCTTGGGGGCCTCTGAGGGGCCTCTTGAGGCCTTCTTGGGGCTGTCTGGAGAGCTTTGGCACCTTGGAGGGCGCATCGATCAAAGAAACGAAGTCCTCAACTAGCGCTGCGCCACAAGAGCCTCTAAAATCACTTGTGAGGGCGCTCTTAAGGGCCTTCGTGGAGCCCTTGTGGGCTCTTGGGCCCTCTTGAAGCCATTTTGAGGTTTGGGAAGGCCATCGGACGCGAAAAGGCGGGAAGGAAACCACCAGTCCCAGATACTTAGGGCTTGGAATGATGTTGGCCTTTTGGGGGCGTCCTGGGGAGCCCCGAAGGCCATTTCGGGACCCGTCGTGGAGCTGTCTTGGGACCCCATTGGAGTACGTTGGAAGCCAGATTGCGCGACCTCGCGCTATGCTGAGCCATCTTGGAGGTCAGTTTGGGCTATCTGGGGCCTTCTTGGAGCCATCTTGGGCTATGTTGGACGCTCCAACCGGTCGCCGCCCTCCCCCGTCCAGATCCAGGGGTACGGGGTTAGGGGGAGCGGTCAAGACATCTCTCCCAGACCCAAACTGTTTGGCTCACTCCCATCCGCCCTCCCATCGCACAACTCGTAGTACCGGAGTCTCCGCGTATTCCGCGGTCGTCTTTGGATGGGCACGCTGCTGGGAACCGGCACAGGCCCCAGGTGCGCGACGCTGGGGCGAGGTGCGCCACGCCGGCCCCCCGCCATGCTTGTCGGCAACCAGTGGCTGCCCCTTCGCGGTGGAGTTGCCTTCGTGATGTCTCGTGGGCCTGCACATAGCAGGCAGTATGCCAGCAGCGCCGCCGTCCCGGTCAGGGGCCAATGTGCAGAGATCGCGGGGGGGCCCCGCACGATCCAGATTTAGCCGCGAAGTGCGGACTGAACCATTCCCAACGATCTTGTGGTGTTGAGTCCTCGCTTCCTGGAGATAGCGCCCCTCTTCCTCTCCCCTCCTCCCCCCCTCCCATTCCTGCCCCAGCCGTCCGCATGTCCATGTTGGCACAACCTTTCAGCACACCCATTACACGTTTTGTGGCCCATATGGAGATCGACCGAAGCCCCCAGGATGGGGTTTGCATGCGGTTCGTTTTCCCTTCGGCACACCCATCACACGCTTCGTAGCCCCATAGGGAAGCAGCTCCACCGAAGCCCGCAGGGGGAGGGGTCGCATGCAGGTTTCCATTAATTTCGGCACAAGCTTCACACGTTTCGAGGTTCCACCGAAGCGCCCAGGAGGGGGGGCTCGCATGCGGTTCTTGCCCGTGTCTGCACACCCTCACACGTTTCGTGGCCCCTTAGAGAAGGAGCTCCACCGAAGCCCGCAGGGGGGGGGGTCGCATGCGGTTCTCCACCAATTTCGGCACAGCCCTCACACGTTTCGTGGCCCCATGGGAAGTTCCACCGAAGCGCCAATGACACAGCTCAAATACGTCCCCAGGCCCACTTCGGCACACCCCTCGCACATTCCGCAGCCCTAAAGGGAGTTCTACCGAAGGACCCAGTGGCAGGGCCCGCATGTCGCATGTGTCACCTCGCCCATTTGGCACACCCCTCACACGCCCCGTGGCCCCATAGGTAGCTCCACCACATGCCGTATCCGCAACTTGGTACTCAATGACGGCATATGGTTGGGCCGATCGCCAAGAACATGTTCTGACAGAGATGGTGGCCCTCCGCACAGCAGGCAATATGTTGGCCCCTCCTGCCGTTCTTTTCAAAGCACCATACAAGGTGCTCGGGGGGGCGCCGATCAAGACTCCGGATTTTGCTGCAAAGTGCATGTTGCATGGTTTTTCGATCGGGATGTCGGGGGATCGCATTGGCTTTGGTCTGTCGCCAGTCGGGTGGGGGGGGGTGTATCTAGTGGCCTTCGGTCCACCCCGCCACGATGCCTGGGTTGTAGGTCAGAGGCTCCCTGGATGCTTGTGAGGATCTCTTGGGAGGCCTCTCGGATGCCTTTTGGATGCGGTTTGGGGGGCTTGGGGCGCCTTAGGGGGCTCTTCCCGCCTGCTTTGGGCCTCTCGGTGCCTCTTGGGTGGCTTTTGGGGCCTCTTGACCGCACGTCGTGGGCTTGTGGGAGGATCTTAGGGGCATCTTGGGGCGGAGGGCTCAAAATGTCAGTTCGTGCTTCCCATCTTGAGCCCCTCTTCGGGCCGTCTTTGGGGCCTCTTGGGCCCCTCTTTGGGACGTTGGGCTGTTTTGGGGCGATCTTGGGCGCCTCTTGGACCGTCCTGGACGCTCTGAAGACAGAAATGGTGACAATTCGAAAACAGTCGAGCACACAGTTGACTCTGGCCGTTTTGGGTTTCTTGATCCGGCCTCCAGGGCCTCCAAGAGGCGCCCAAGAGGGTTCCACGACGGTCCCCGTGGCCATCTGAAACCATGTTGGACATGCATGCCCCGAGCAAGGCGCTCGTGGCCTCCCGAAGAGTCGTGCTGGGGCCCTCCTGGGCGAGGGGACCGTCCTGGAGTCCCACGCGAGAACCCCGAGGGGCACCCAAGAGAGCCCGGAAGCGCCCGAGAAACCGAAGGTCTGGGTCCTCAAGAACCCTGCAAACCCTCTATCTCTCAGGGCTGCGTGCGCCTTGGAGCACTCCTCTGCGTCGTGAAGGCACGGCACGGTGGCGGATATCAATAAGGACCAGTGATCAAGCTGCCCCAAGCCGCACGCCGAGTCGCTCACTCCCACCCGCTCTCCCGACGGGCAGCATCCGCTCCGAGGGCCCAAACCCTCTATCAAAAGAAACACGGGGCGCCCGCGCACGGTCCAGATTTCTGTTGGCCGCAGAGTGCAGCTTGCACTGTTCTCTTGACAGGGGTGGCGGACGGGGTGCCCGCACCGTCCCCGGTCTCTAGCCGGTCGTGCGGGGTCGGGGCTCGAGAGACGGGGGTCCATGCAAACGGGGGTCAGCCAGGGCACGGGATCCTGCAGGATCCTGCGAAGACCCCTCTCTGGCCGATCCGGGTTAGCGAGCCGCTCGTGGCCGCGAGGCGGCCGCGCATATTGGTTGACCCGGATTTGCGAAGACCTGCGTTGCAGTTTTTGTCTCCTGCATTGTAGTTGTTTGGTTTCCTGCTGACCTGGGTCTGGATTGACCTGGGGCAGAAAGTCACCGATGGGGGAGGGGGTGTACATTACTAAGGAGCAGCGGTTGGGACACCGCTCCCAGCTGCAAGCGGTTTGGCTCACTCCCACCCGCCCTTCCAACACATTGGGCGCTCCGAAAAGGGCCTTGCCTTCGAGGGCCGAAAGAGTTGCCATCCCTTTCGCGGCGGGAGGTCGGCGGAAGGCGGCGGAAGTCCGCCTCCGCTGGCGGAAGGCGGCGGAAGTAAGAGATGCGTTCCCAAGAGATGAAAACGCTTCTGGGTGCAGGGTTTCCAGAATCCGCCACATAGGTAGTGCCCGAGTCTCAGCATGTTCAACGGCCACCTTTCGATGAGCACGCACTGCGAACCGATACATTTCCCAGGTGCTCGATGCAGGGGCGGGGTGAGGAGGTGTGCGGTTGTCTCTCCAGCGCCGGGCGTAGTGAGAAAACAAGAGCCCCTTGAGGAGTGCATTTGACATTGTTTTTGACGTGGATGGCGGGGGGGGGGCGCCTTGTCCCAGGTTTGTCGCTAAGGAGCAGTCATCGGGACACCTTTCCCAGGCGCAAACCGTTTGGCTCACTCCCGCCGGCCCTCACAACGCACAGGTAGTACCCGAGTCAGCATATTCCGCGGGCGTCTCATGATGGACACATACTGGGATCCAATATTACATGTCTCATGTGCGCGACGCTGGGGCGAGGTGCGCCACGTCGACCCCCACCATCCCTGCCGCAAACCAACGCACAATCGCGGTGGAGTGGCCATCATGATGTCTAGTGGGCCTGCACACAGCAGGCAGTAATTATGCCAGC